GATTTACTCGTCAATGGCATAGAAGTAAAGTTTCCAACTTTCAAGTTTTGTTTTGAATTATAAAACTACTAATTTGTTCTACTTAGTTTATTAGTTTAAAAAAAAATTGGAATTTTTTTAAAAACTCAAAACTTTTGCAAATAATCATATAAAATGAAACTTGATGTCAAATATTTAACATTTGTTTCTAGTTGCTTTAAAGCAAACAAGCAATTATTTTACATTACATTCGCCGGCGGGAGATAAATATTTTCACCTCCAAAATATTTCGCCTCCAAAAAATGACTCTGGCTGCGGTAGCCAATAGAAAAGCAGAAGCTACTGGAGGCGGAAGAAAAAACATTTTGCTGCTAAATATTGAATGGGAGGCTGCCGCTAACAGCTTCGGCCCCCTTAAAAAGTTTTGCCGCCTTGCGGCATTATCAACTCTGAACAAATATATAAAATAAATTTAGTAATTATTACTTCATAAAATAAAACAGATTTGAAAAAATAACTATTAATACTTTGAAATTAGTAAATAAAGCTTCTAAATATTTTTTTTTTGTTTTTTTGTTTTAGAGACTTTTAAAAGGTCTCTGGTCAAAAATATTTTTTTAAGAACATGAAAACTTATTGCTACATGGTACACTGGGAACCAAAAGACAAACTTTAAATAGTAGTAGAGATTGAATAAAAATCTGACGCATACACCAACTATTGTGGTCCGGAAGAAATAATAACATTTTCTTGGTCGTGATTTTTGTGCTGAATACTTTTTGATAATTTAAACAGTTGTTTAAAACCTAATAAATCAACTTTTGAGAAAATAATTTACTTTAATTCAAAGCTTTTAATCGTTTTACACAAAAAAAAATTTTTCAAAACGCAAAGCCAGTATTTTGAATATAATTTTTTTAAAAACTGAACATTTTTTTTTTTTTTTTTAGTTTACAATTATTAATCGTAATATAACAATATAACAATATATAAACTTGGTATCTGAAAGAAGATCCAAATGATCTTGTCGCCAGAACCATATAAAAAATATCATACGTGTATATATGATAAAATAAAAATACAATTGATCTAATAACTATTAACAATGTAGAAGAAACAAAAACTGAAAATAATTTTACAAATTATCAAAAGTGAAAAAAAAAATTTAATTTAGTTTTAAAAACGGAAAACGAAATTGACAAATCAAATTTTGGAACAACAATTTTGTTCCATAAATACGGTCCTCGATAGTTAATGCAAAAATTGATTAAACTTTGTTTGACAAAAGGGTTCAATTAATAAATTATTATTTCGTAAAGCATATTTGTTTATAGTTTTATAAGTAAAAAAATCTTTGAAATTGGACAATGGTCGTTCACTTTTACAACGAAACATAAAACATAAAATACTATAGACATTGAGTTTGTAAACGTTAAGCGCTTTAACGTTTTTAAATAAAATGTTTGAATGAGAAAAACCGATTTTCAAAACATATTAAACGCATTGCGTGTTTCTGACGATGGTAGAGATTTTGCAACTTACTTTTAGAGGTACTTCCTCAAACAATATTTGCTTGATTTATATAGCTATGAATTAATGAGTAGTAAAGTTGAATTAAATTTTGTTTACTTAGATAGTATCTGACCTTATATAGAATTCCAATACTTTTAGCCAATTTAGTAGAAATAAAGTAGAATTTAGTAGAAATAAAAACAATTTAGTAGAAATAAAGGTATAAGCAAATTAAAAAAATTATTGAGATTATTAAGTGCAGTAAACTAGTCAATAATATATTGAAAACATGATGAAATCGATTAATTGTATGCATTGATGCTCTGCCGATCTACTTCACTAAGCGACATTGCAGATCTAGAAGCTGCAACTGTTAGTGAAGCTTTTTTTGATTATTTGATCCCATTTATACCATATTTTGTCTTCACGAGTTGGATATTTAAATTTGTTCTTTCCTATCATTTGTAAGGTGGATACTTCACATTCAGCTGAATCTGCATCTTTGTGAAGTACGTGCCAAATGTAAAGCTTATTATTGTATTGAACAATACACCAGGCGTGCACTTCGAGCATAATAAGTTCGGATGTTGTTCGACATTTGAAGCACCATCAGCATTTATCATATTGTGTGGCTTATTTAAGATTGCCCATCTTCAATTAGTTGTACAATATCTGTTGCTGTATTGAGCAGATCGGATTCAATCTCAGCAACATGTTTATTATTATTTTCTGCGACCACTCTCCGTGGACCAAACTGAACCCTCCGTGCTTTAAGGCAATTACATGTGCTCGGCATCTTGCAAAACTACAAACAGATACTATTTCCTTTTCAATGAATTGTTATTGATGTAGTTTGATTATTCCTGCAACAGTTTTCACTCCTTCGGGGATCATTTTAACAATAACACCAATATCTTTTTTGCTGACAAGAAATAGTTTATAACATTCTTCTGGTGTAAAGCTTCTACAAAACTTGCAGCTGAAGTTATCATGACACCATGTCTACTACTTGATCAGTGGTACGTTTTAGAGTGCTTCTGATCGTGTCTTGTCGCGAGTAAATCCTTTATTGTACAAATAATGACAAGTTGTTCCTATACTGTGTTGTTGGCTTATCACTCCAAAGGTCTGTTCTCCTGAATTGTGTTCCACTGCCGCCATTTGCATGGTTGTTCTCCATCAAACTCTCTTTCCAGTAATTCTTCATCTTTTAAACAACATGTTTCACAGATTCTGAAAAAGCACTCTTTTGCAGGTATTACATAAAACATTATGAAACAGAAGTGCTCTTTTGATTTCAGGGCGCCCATTCAAACCTTGGGTCATGTTTAACATTTTACTGCGTAGCGTGTTACTGTTTAATGGTTTTTTACTTAATCTTTTTGCGCGGTTTCGATACTTATCAGCTTGCTTAGTTAGCTTCATTATCTGTACTTGTAGCTGTTTATCAGTCAATACGCTTTACTTCGTTCTTTTCCAATGCCTTTTCTGCCTTGAATTTTCTGCCTAGATTCATTGTGATTTGGAGTTGATGAACTAGATAATGAAGAAAATAATAGAGATTCTATACATAAATCATTTACCGATGAAAAGCGTAACTTTGCATTTGCTCTACCTCGCTGCTGTGCTTCTCGCCAATGTTTCCGTTGACGTCGTTCAGTCTTCGGCTTTGTAACTTTTTTTCTTTCCATTTGACACTCTCATTCCTTCTTCTTATAATCTTCAAATTTTGCAGGATCATTTCTTATTTTGGCTCTGAACTTCGCTTGCCTTAACTGGTTTGATTTTGTCTTCTTTGCCATAATTGTAATACAGATCTCTGATAGAAACAAATATAATATCAGTTCGTTAATTTCAATAGCTTAGCAGCAAAATAGACCTATTAAATGATGGTTTAAAATAAAAAATTAGTTATGGTTTAAAATAATAACAATGTATTTTTCTGATGCGTAAATTCTTAACTAACTAATAAACTGTTTTTTTTATATAAACGGTTACTTATTTAACATGTTTGTCAAATACATAACGCTATTGTTACGTCCGTAACGTAACTTTACGCAAATCACCGTTACGTACTTCACATTTTTGCGATGTTTCTGTTCATACGTTTAAAAAGAATTCGTCAATTCAATGCAATAATGATAATTTAATAACAACATAATGAATCTAATCATATAAATTTCAAAGATATAAATATTTACCTTAATAAAAATTCATCCGTGACGTGCCTGACAATTCAAAAACCTTTTAATATAAAATGACTACGCGATACAATTTGCCTTTATTATCGCTCATATATAAATTCCTTATAATTTGCAAATAATTTAAAATGAAATAAAGCATTTTTTTACGGTAACTACCCTCGGTATTTATTATTTTGTCAGTGAATCGTTATTGTTACGTACATGACAGTAAAATGGAGGACTTTTATTCGGCAAACATGCAACCTTATAAATAAAACATTCAAATCAGACATTGTATTATTGCCAATTCAGGAGTTCAGCGTTAATTTTGGTGGCTCAGACACAGTTAAACGTCAGATTTTATTGAACATTTGTGCGAAACATAACACTATTAACACCATGGGTACGTCAAATCTGAAACCCAACCATTTTCAACTTCAGAAAACCTTAGAACATTTAATTTAAAAAAGATGAGACGATGTTTCAGAACATAAGGTAATAATTTTTTTGATGAAAAATATACTAGAAATCATTGGACAGGCCAAATGCACCAAATTTCAGAAACACATTTTTTTCCGACTGTTAAGTAGGCTTAAAAAAAACGATGAGGGGTCGTAAGAACAAAGTTTTCCCCGTGATTAAAATTTTTTTGAAAATACTTTTCTTTGGGAGGAGTTAAAAATGATGAATTTTTGTTTTTTAGTGAATTATCGTAGCATATTGAAACAAAGCAAGTTCATATTTTGTTGATATTGTTGGCACAAAGTAATATTTTCTTGAATGGAATGAGTCATTACAAGATTTTGACTTTAAAATACATAAATCTTAAAACAGTTATTTTTAATTATTTTTGTCAAAGTGAATACGGAAACCGAAATAGATTCCGTGTTTTTAATTTCCATAGAGGAAACAGTCAATTATGAATAAATTGAACATAAAGTCTAGTACTTTATGCTTGTTTTTTAATATGTAAATGAAGTATCAATTCCAGAACAATTTTAAGTTGAAATTTTAAATATCAAATTTTATTAAAAGATTTCAAACTTTGCCAAAAAATCGTTTTCAATTTTTATTCCCTTCCAATTTTGTGTTAGCAAATGTTGAGTCATTTGATTTTGCGCTGACAAAATTGTAAAAACTATTTTATATTTATGCCATATAAATAAATTATTCATAAAAATAAAACAAATTTCATTCAATAGATTCTAGCTAAACATTTAGAAAACAAACGTTAATACTAGTTAGTTACTAATAGTTTTCGGATAGTTCTGACAAAATTTAAACAAAGCAATACGCTTTTTTGCAGTAGATTTTAGTGAACTTTTAAAGTGAACGTTTTATAATTGTATTCGAAAAATTTAAAACTTATAAAATCTTTTTGTGATATTTACCGCTGATAATAATCAGAGATATCATCGAAGTAGGAGAACTTTAAAAAAATGTTGAAAATCAAAATATATTCAACAACAAACTTTTCAGTAATTTTAAAACTCAAATAATAAGCATCGAGGACAGATTTATCCTGTAATTGTTTGGCTAAATAAAAAAAATGGAATGTAGAAAAGTTCTTATTGCAATTGATGGGAGCTCGTACGCAGAAAAAGCCTTTGAATGTAAGTTGTTAACTTTTTTAATTACTTTGATAAATTAATTATAATTACAACAATGTCTTTATCAAAGTTGTAAGATTAAAATAAAACAAAATGGACGTTTGCCCTTTATTTTTTTTATCATTTTATATATATATATATATATATATATATATATATATATATATATATATATATATATATATATATATATATATATATATATATATATATATATATATATATATATATATATATATATATATATATATATATATATATATATATATATATATATATATATATATATATATATATGAAGACCACACGGGTAAAACCACAGATGTCCACTTTTTGAAAATTTCAAGTTTTATATATTTTTATGATATTTTAGTATTAACCTATTTTAATTTAAAAATTCATAACAAAAAAACTATGTTTTAAGGTTCTATGGTCATTTAAAAAAAAGGGCAACTTTGAAACAACCACTGTTGTCCAATGTTTACCGCGTAAAAAACAAGTTATTTTTAACTAAACCAATGATAATAAAAGCGTAAGTCACATGACTAACTTTTCGGATGAAGTAAACAACATTACGTTCACAGAAAAACATTTTAAAAAACATTTTGATTTTTTAAAATGTTTTTCTGTGAACGTGAATCGAATTTTTTTTATTAAAAGAGGGGGAGGGGGCGGTGGCTTTATTATCCCATCACACACTTAGTACGTTGTAGTTGTAAATTACAATGTGTTACCATCTACCTTAAAAAAAAATAAGTGCTCTAGAAGGTTACAATCTAACGTAATTTACGAGTTGATGAGTTTACAACGGAAAAACAACAGATGTCCAAAATGAGTGTCTTGTTTTCAAAAGAACATTGTGAATAAATAATACTTGTATTTAGCACAAAAACTGCGTTTTTATATTGTATAAGGACTAAAATGTCAGAAAAATGTACTTTTAATTAAATAAATTATTAATAAACAGATATCTAAAGTCACTAAACACTAAATTTCATTTTTCTCGAAATGAGAAAAATGTGACATCTGTGGTTTTACCCGTGTGGTCTTCATATATATATATATATATATATATATATATATATATATATATATATATATATATATATATATATATATATATATATATATATATATATATATATATATATATATATATATATATATATATATATATATATATATATATATATATATATATATATATATATATATATATATATATGGTATGTGACATTAAATTTATAAAATAATCAAATACAAGATTGTCATATATCATTAGAAAGACCTTGAAAACAACACTTTCAAGGTGAAAAAATTACTAAAATCGAACAATTCTACAAAAAGTTATGGCATTTTAAGTACCAAATTTTTGATATATGGATTTGTTGAAGAAACCGTGAACAAATTACTCTTAACTTTTTTTTTTAATTCTTTTAGTTTTTCTTAACTTAAAATGACATAACTTTGTCAGTTCTTAGTAAAATTCATACAACTTGGTAACAAAAGAAAGGTCTTAGTATGTACATTAGGATATAAAAATAAGTGTATATAAAAGCAAATTGGGGCATTAATGGGGCTTCTAAAATATCATCTAATATGTTCAAAATCTAGATTTAAAAAAAAATTAATTTTTTTATTGAAACTTTTAACTTTTTCTTCAGATTTATAAAATAAACTCTACGAGGTCACTATTGATTATAATTAAGATACCTTGGGTTGGGTGGACAGAAGTTTATTTGGCATCAGGTGGCAATAGTTGCCCACTTCCACCCAATATTATTGTCAAATCAATGTGTTTTTATATCCAAGTGTATACCATTTATAATCAAAATTTTGAAACCCACCTTATCTTGGGTAGGCAGGGAAGGGAGCAACCTTTTCTATTAAAAAATAATATTTTTAATAAAACACAAACTTATTATACAAAAAACAAACTATAAATATATAAAAAATTAATACATAAAAAGACTACATACAAACATAAACTTATAAAAACACTATAGATACACATACTAATAGTTAGTAAGTCACTGGGGCCTCAGTTTCGGCCCAATCCCCGGCTAAAAATGAGACCTAATGCAAACCCGGCCCTGGAAAAATTATAAGATTTAGCAGGGGTTAATTGCACGGGCTAGAAAAAAAAATTATAATACTTTATATATTATAATTTTATGTTTACACTTACTATTTATTAAATACTGGCTTTTATTTATATATTTTTTAACTCTAATTTACTTCCAACAAGATTGCAAGCAACAACTGTTAAGTTATGAGTTACTTTAAAATAGAGAACAAGTTAAAATACTAGAAAACAGTTGACTGAAGACTTAAAAAGTTGTAGGGTGTAAAAAAAGGAAAACATGAAGATGGGTAGGAGTTATAAGGTTTTTTTGATGCGCAAGGAAAAAAAATTGAATAAAAGTTTTTATAGCATGAAGGGACAGATACAGTAAAAAGATGCAACTTGTTGAATAAGAAGCCAGACGAGAATGAGTTTTGGTTTATTGTAAATTTCAAAGTATATTTGTTAGGTGTTTGAAACATTCCATATTTTTGGTTCTGAATATTTTTTTTATTTAATATTTAAGCAGCCGTGGTGCAGTGGTAGCACACTTGCCTCAGAAACGTAAGATCGTGGTTCAAACCCCACCTCTGGGCAAGTTTTGCGACATCGGTTGGGAAGGAGGTGTGAACTTCCCATTAAATGCTCTTCCGCGGTGCTTTGTGATAAGACCGTAAGGATTTCTTGGGGGACCTTAATCAACTTAAAAAATAAAAAAAAAATAGGTCTGGTAGGAACCTTCAAAATTATTATAAAGAAATATTTTTAGGCTTAAAATTAATTTTACACAATTTAATAATATTTTAATGAAATTATTTTACATAGATTAAGCATGTGTGCAAATATAAATATGTTAATATGTGCATGTCTATTTATGTGTGTATGTATAAAAAGATTTAGGAGAAGTTTAAAAATAGTAAACTTATAAAGAAAGTTTTTTTTAAAAAACTTTTTTTAATGATATTTGTTTTTTATAATACAAAAACATATAAAATATTTTATATATATATATAAAATAATTTGCATTAAGTTTACATTGAGAACATATACAAAAAAGGAGACTTTCTTCTTTTGGTTCACTGTGCTACACCACCAAAGCTTCCACTCTTCAGTTTTTCAGGTATGTTTGACGTTTCTATATTAATTTGTAATATTGAGTTTGGGGTCTTCCAAAAAGTACTCATGCAGGTATTTGGGAGGGGGTTACCCATTAACGTATGAATGCGTGCAAAACCCCATTCCTTGAAAAGACAGCAGGTATATATGCGTTTTAATTTTTTCTTGCTCTTTATCTCGTTAGAGGGAGAAGGTTGATTTTTTGATAAATAATGTGTACATACGTAGAGGAGGAAAAATGTTGTTGAAAGCATACAGTTTTGTACACGAGGGAAGGAGTCACAATTCAGTTTAACTGCGTACGTACTTTATGGGCATGACCGCTTTTAAGTTTTAGTTTCTGTAGCACTAAAGCCTAGTATGTTTCTAATACAAATTGTATTCAATTTTTTAACATCTTGTATGTTTTTCAATCTTGTATGTTTTTAGTACGTTTTATGTACATTTTTTCAATAGAACCCTGTGTGTTGCCATCGGACGAATGGTTAAATTCTATTGTTAATGAAAACAAAAAAAGTTCACAAATTATGGAAAAGTTTGAAGTATTATGTGAATCTGCAAAAGTATTTAAAATTTTAAATGTCTATTAAACTTTTAGGAAGTATTTATCTGTTTTTATTTGTTGTTGTTGTTTTTGTTTTTTATGTGTAGATTCCAAAAAAAACAGTTGTTGCAACCGGTAAACCTGGTGAAGCTATCATAGAAGCTGCAAATTTAGAAGGAATAAACCTCATAGTTATGGGGGCGCGAGGTTTAAACGCTTTAAGACGTACGTTTATTGGTAGTGTGAGTGATTATGTTCTCCATCATTCTAATGTTCCTGTTACAATAGTTCCTCCAATCGTCTGAAACAAACGTTATTCAAATTTTCTTTTAATTCTTATATAATTTATAACTTTATAATTATTATATAGTCTATACTGTATATATTACAGGTCTATATTTTTTAATATCACTTTTAATATTTAAGATAAGTTTTTCTACATTTTTTTCTGGAATTTCATTGGAATTTCTTTATTTTATCATTTATTAATATTTCAAGTATTTATCTCCTTTTATTTTATTTGTATTTTTTTTTTTTTTTTTTTTTTTTTTTTTTTTTTGCATTTTATTGCCTTTAATAAATTTTTATTTGTAATTTATTTGTACAAAGAGCTAGCAAAATTTCTTAATAAATAGAAGATTTTAATTATTTTATGGTTTAAAGAATAAATCAGTGTAGATTAATAAGTATTTCTTGCATAAAATTGCGCTTTGGAATTAACGACTTATAAAAAAATCTAATTTTAAAAATTTTTAAACGTAAGGATTTACTCAAGAACTTTTTTCTCCTAAAAATTTTTTTTTTACATTTTTAATGAAAGGGATATATTCTACGATATAAATAAAAATTTTAATTACAAGACATAAAATTTTTTTAAACATTTTGTGGAATATATTCTGAAATCAGGGTTGAGGAAGCATCAAACAATTTTCATGGGGCACATTTAGGCTGTTTAAATAATACGTGACTGTCTTAGGGAGAGAGAGGGTATTGGAAAGTTTCACTAAATATTACATGGGGAAAGCAAGTGGTTTGCTACAGTGTGACGTGACAAAAGTGTTTCAAATTAAATTTGTTACAACTGCATAATTGGTTTAAATTGCAAACTCGGAGGTATTTATATATATAATACTGAAAAAATTATGTATGATATGCAACGACTTCACAACTAGCGAGCGTTTTTTTACTTAACTGCCATTTAAAAAAAAAATTATGCTAAATGATCGGAAGAGATTTATCTAAACTTACCCCATAAGAAGTAACATGTCGTAATTGCACGCATAAACAAAAATTCTGATCCTACAAACAGAGTTACCAGATAATGGGCGATTATTTAAAATTGAATAATATTAGCATCTATTTTTATTGCTATTATTATTAGCAGCCGTGGCGCAGTAGTAGCGCACTTGCCTCAGAAATAAAGGACCCGTGGTTCAAACCCCACCTCTGGGTAAGTTTTGCGACATCGCTTAAGAAGGAGGCGAGACTTATTTCAAAGAGGATGGCCTTGATGGCATGTTTGTGGCCACTAATTCTCCTTGCAGAAATGCCTTTTATAGGCTAGAGAGGAGAATGGCTTTGGTTAGCCATGACCAAGCAGGAAGTATACTTTCTGTTAGGTCATGTAAATTTAATCACTCTGGAAACCATTTTAATTCAAAAGGGAGAAACACGCGACAAAATTATTGAGTAAGAAAATTTTACGAAAGCTTCTTGCACAAAAAAGGTCCAGTAAAGTCATTAATGAAATTTGTAACGAGTACGAAAAACCAAACAGTGAAAAATATGTACTGTTAAAGCAATTTGGAGCAGATTAGGAAGTTGTGTAAGTAACATTTCAGAGAAAGCCAAAACTGACTTATTCTGACAAATTGTAAAATGTAATAACCAAAACTGCTGTGGTCGTCGTTGCAACTCACTGTTTCATTTTATTCCAACTAGTTTTCTTTCTCCACCTATTTCTTTGATCCAAGGAAAAAAAGGTTTGAGGGTAATAACACAAAGAAAAACTTTGCAAGGCTCTTTTTAAACTTGTCCTTTAGCATAACAATTTTTCCCAAGATAGTAAGAAAAAAGTTTCCCGAAGGATTGCCATACGAATACTCATGTCAAAATATTCAAAGTTCTTTATTTTGTAACTATCAAATCAATCCAAAAATACAAACAGTTAGCTCAAATATTAAATTATCGAATGATATTCAAAACCTCACCGTTTAGTTAAACCTCACCGTTAAACCTCACCGTTTAGTTGTTCAATACTTATATGAACTCATGATTATCTTTTTAAATTCAGACAAAGAAATAATTGAGTAGTATTATCGGGACAATTGATACCTCTAACCTCAACTGGCCTTTAATATATTAAAACCCAGTGGAGAAAAGAAAATAATCTTTTTATTAGAAATAGCATTCGCATTGCTTTATTAACTTGTATAGATGTTTAGAGAATAGTAAGTTATTTTTAATATGTATTCATAGATCAGTTTTTAAGTAAGTAGGTTTGATGTCAATACTTGTTTTCTTTACTGGATTGTATAAAGTATAGACATGATATTTATTTCTGTAGCCTAGCTGTAGAACTGAACATTTTTCTACATTAAATTTCAAATCCTATTTAGTTGCCCAGTTAACCAAATTGTCAATATCATTATTAAGTGAGGTGTGTGAATACATATTGATAATAGGGTAAAGTATTTTTGTATCGTTGGCAAAAAGTACTGCATTTTAACTAATTATATTGGAAAAATCATTAACGTATATAATGAATAATAGAGCTGGGAGTACATAAATTTCGGGAACTCTACTTTTTATTGGTACCCAATCAGAGTAACTACCATTTATATTACTCTTTGTCTTTGTTTTGAGAGAAAGTCTCTTTTCCAATAGCAAACCGGACCATTAATTCCATAGGCTTTTAGTTTCAAAAGGAGATGCTCATGTGGGTCTTTGTCGAATGTTTTTTCAAAGTCAAGGTAAACATTATCGACATGGAGACCTTTATCTAAATTAAGTGTCCATGAATTGATTACAGAAAGAAGATTTGTAAAGGACCTCGGATAAAAACTGTGTTAACTAGGATTTAGCAGATAAATTTTTAACAGATGAGTAAAAATATGTTTTTGTATTATTTTTCAAATATTTTGACAATGGTGTATGTTTAACTAATGGGTCTATAGTTTGTAACTAGTTTTTTGTCTCCTTTTTTGAAAATTTGTATAATATTTTCATCCTTCTAGATTTGTGGCGATGTACTAGTTTGAAATACCTTAGTATAAATAATAGATAGAAATTTGGATATTTTTCTTTTAATATATCTCATGTAACTCATCTGGGTTTCAAATTGTTTGAACTAGCCAGGTTTTGCTTCTTTTTTTTTTAAAGAATTAGTAATTAAATTATCTTATTCAGCAAAAATTTCAATTTTTTGTCAAACAGTACAAAAGCTATGGTATTTTTTTTAAAAAACGTATATATATGTATATATATATATATATATATATATATATATATATATATATATATATATATATATATATATATATATATATATATATATATATATATATATATATATATATATATATATATATATATATATATATATATATATATATATATATATATATATATATATATATATATATATATATATATATATATATATATATAAAACGAACAAATAATTTGAATTCATGAATAAAATTTCATTTACTATAAGGTTGTACTAAAATATTTTTTTTATTTTTTTATTTGACCTATTTGGGGTCGATGCCCCAAAAGCGTTGTATTTTCTTTGTTCCCAAAATTAAATATTTTTTTTTGGCAGAACATCATGATTTGATATTAGTATTAGTATGTAAAAGTTTAAGTAGCGTTTCTGGAAGTTTCTTCACCTGAACATGAGAATTTCATAGGTTCGCTCCCTTTAAATGCCTTTTCTGAAAATGTGCCACACGCAGGATTTTAATTTTTACAGCTTTGTGTAACCTAAAGGTTTCTTAAATAGAATCTATAAAAATTGTATTTGGGGTGTTTCAAAATCAAACATAAAAGATAAATTTCTGACCTTTTAAATTTGAAAAACCCTTTTGAAATGTTTCTTTTTAAAAGTTTTAGCGACAAAAATTTAAATAAAACTAGAATTCTCCACATAAACATTCGAAGCCTTAAAATTAATTTTGAAAATCTAAAGAATAATTTTGTAAATCTTTTTTGTTTAAAAAACAAAAAGTTGTTTTAATATATTTGTTTGACTGAATAATTTAAATAATTCAAACTTTTAAATTTCTCATTTTAAATTAATTTCTAAATGCAAGCAAATAAACGCGGAGGAGGAGTTCTTATATATTTATATGAAAACATTGTTTATTATGTAGGAATGATTTAAGTGTATCCGATGGCGATAAAAAATTTTAACTATTGAAATTATAAACAATAGATCAAGAAACATATTATCAAGTTGTTGTTGAATTCTCACTCCCCACTTGACGGGGGGAGTGAGAAGTTGAGCATTTTTTTTTAACAAAGTATTTTTAAAAAAGGTTTACAGAAAAATAAGAGAACTTCATTATTGAAGACCTAAATATTTGTTTTCAACACAATGAAGATATTTAAGTTCAAAAATTTTATGATTCTTTTTCGAAAATTGAATAATTCCATCCAACCAGAGTAACAAAAAACTCAGCATCAACCAATATCAATTTTAGACTGTAAGCATATTAACTTTATTGAAAATGCAGACAAAATTTACGATACTTTTTTTGAAATATTTTATTCCGTGTAAGACGCTAACTTTCCTATCATTGTTAAAAGGAAAAATCCGAATAATATTACCAACCCTTTGGTGACGAGGCGATTAAAAATTATCAAAGATAAAACAGAAACTTTATATAAAATATCTTAAAACAAAATCATCTGCAAATGAAAAAACATAAAAAGAATTCTATAATAATACCTACTTAAAAAAGTTCGTAAAAACTCCTAGATAAGATTAAAAATAACTCAAAAACACACTTGGCAAATAATAAATGAAATTAGTGGTAGACAAAAAAGATGCTCAGGTTCCCTCCCCCAATCAATTATAGATGATAAAAAACATATATGCGAATCAAGAGCTAAAGTTCATGAATTTAATAATTTCTTTGTTGATATCGGTCCAAAACTAGCAAACAAAATTTCTTATACATATACTACATTTAGAGATTTTTTAGTACAGGTGGATAATTGCGTTGGTTCCAACAAATTATCTTCTGGACTATCTTTTCAAGAGTTTGAAAAATCTTTCAATTCTCTGTAAAAAATAAATCAATGGGAGCAGTTGACATAAACGGTAATATAGTCAAAAAATGTTTTGAGTGAAAAGATATTCTTTTGCAAGTGTATGGAGCATCTATACGCCAAGGAGTGTTTCCTGAACAACTAAAAGTTGCTAAAACTGACCCAATTTTAAAAGAAGGTAACCAAACAAATATCAGTAATTATCGCCCTATCTCTGTCCTCTCCACATTTTCAAAATATTGTACGTATTATGTACTATAGATTATACAATTATCTTCATTCTTGTAATTTTTTGTACAACTATCAATTCGGCTTTAAAAGAGATAGTTCCACAAAACATACAATTATCCAATTTGTACGTAAAATCTTTAATTCTTTTGAAAAGTCTAAATATACATTAGGTGTT